CTGTCATTGCCCACGTGAGCATTGAAGTCCCCTAGCAGAACAAGAGAGTCCCCAGAAGGAATGCTCTCCAACACCCCTTTGACTTTGTTCCGTAGCTAATTAGTTCACATGCTGAGTCGCGTCTTAATCAGGCCTTGTGACTGCAGTGGCTTTGTGTGCTGGGTCTGGTGTGTCATCCTGCAAACTATATTTGTGGGGGATACCCTTGCCGACTTGCAGACTGTTCCTCCTCAGGCACTAACCAGATGAACATGGCCGTCGGCACGTCGGAGCAGACCGGCCTGCACCCGGACTCCTCGCTGCCGCCCTCGCTTCCCGGGTGAGTGGAGCGACGTGGTCCTCCAGCGTCAGCTCGCCTGGGTACTGCTGTCGCCGGGACGTTCTCCTGAACGTGGACTTTGTTTGCTGGAATTTATTAAACACCTGATAATTAGAATGTAATAATCCCTCTTGTGTCTATGATACTGTTTGTAACAAACCTTGTCGTATCTACGTCTTTAATATCATTTAGGGTGCGGTCTGTGTTTCTTTTAATCTCTTTCTGAGATTAAAAGTCGGTGAGAAGGAGCTTCTGAATGTCTCCTGACGCTTCCCTTTTCTTACTCTCGTTTCCCGTCTTTGCTCCCCACAGCCAGCTGATGCCGGATGGGGCAGCTGTGGGCACCTTGAGCAGTCTGCCCACCGCCGCGCCTCTGTCTGCCACAGGCGTGCGCAAGGCCTGGCACGAGCACGTCACCCAGGACCTGCGCAACCATTTAGTGCATAAGCTGTGAGTGTCGCCCCCCCCCCTTTCTGCCTGCCTGCGTGTGCGTGCGCATGCCTGTCAGTGGCTAATCTGCCTGCCGCCCCCCCACCCTTGTAGAGTTCAAGCCATCTTCCCTACCCCCGACCCTGCGGCCTTGAAGGACCGGCGGATGGAGAACTTGGTGGCCTACGCTCGCAAGGTCGAGGGAGACATGTACGAGTCTGCGAATAGCAGGGTACGACACGCCGCTGTGTAGCTGCTTCTTATTCGTCTGATGCTGATCGTTAGGCCGATTTAAAGCTGGTGATTCTCAGCCTCAGGGTGGAGGTTCTGCCTTCATGCTTTTAATAATCCATAAAGTTTCCCCCAGATAGAATGAACGGTAACGTGAGGCGATGGAGTCACTTGGGGCGAGTGGCTCGCCGATCTTTGGGTGTAACGCTGGGCCCCCTGTTGCCGCTGTCCCTGGCAGGATGAGTACTACCACTTCCTGGCCGAGAAGATCTACAAGATCCAGAAGGAGCTGGAGGAGAAGCGGAGGTCACGGCTGCAGAAGCAGATCGGACAGGCGCCCATGGCGGGCCCCGGGGCCCAGCAGCCGAATGCCCTGGGGCCGACGCAGGGAGGTCGTCCGCCCAGTGAGTACACCGTCCAGCTGGGGGGGGGTTTCCTCTGTCCTCTTCCATGGCTCCATCCCTGAGACCATACATGCATGTTAGCACGTTCTGACTCTCCTTTGGCGTGTTGAATTTCCTGCTCACTCACTCACTCCCCCTCTACCTCTCTCCTCCTCTTCTTCAGATGGACCTGTGCCTATGCCCAGTGTGCCAAACCAGATCATAAATCGCATGCAAGTCACACAAGGTACCCCTCCTGCTCGATGACTGGTTGCACCTTAACCCATCTGCATTTGATCCCCCCCCCCCACTACTACAGCATTACAGCCATGGTGCTTAGTACCCCTGCCAAGACAGTGATCTGAGGTCTACTCTTGGCCTCTGAGGCTTGATGTAGAGGAGAAGCCACAGGCTGTGTTGAGGTCCTGGAGTGCTGCACGAAGGGAAACCATCTGCCTGCTGCTCTTTGCGGATCCCGTGGCTTTTCTCCGCTTATTTTGGCTTGTGCGATCCTTCCTTGGATGCTGGTTGTCTGTTTATTTTAACGAGTGATTAGTATCTGAATTGTTTCTGCCTGCATCATCTACGCAATTGACAAGAGATGAAGCATGTGACCAAAACGTTGGTTCTGAGCCCAAAGCCGTTGGCCCAGTACTCTTTGCTGCCTTTGTTAGGGAATGTGAAGCTGCCCACATGTTAACCAAGGTCTACTTGGTTTCCAGTCAGCTCTTCTTAGCTGCTGGGAGAATAATTTTTTATATCTGCCCCCTAGTGGCAAAGCGGTGAATAATCGGCATCTGTGACATTTTCTTGAACATGCACATTTTCAGTGGTCCTGGATTTTTGGACGCTGTCAGTCTTTGATCTCTCAGAACTGAGCTTCACATTTGCGTGCAGTTGGTTGGAATCATTGGGGCTTCCTGCTGCTCATTTAGGGTCATTTAGTCTCTATTGACTTTGGAGCAGCAATATTGAATCTGAGCTGCTCTGGTTATTCCCATCTGGCCTCTAATTATGCCCGTGTGTGTGTGTGTGTGTGTTTGTGTGCGTCTCTCCCTGCGTCTGTCTCTGCGTGTTCCCTGCAGGGATGAGTCAGTTTGCCCCCATGGCGATGCAGAGTGTGCAGATGTCACCGGCGTCCCTGGGAGCCCGCGCAGCCTCCCCCATGAGCCACCCCGTGCAGATGAACATGAGCTCTGTCCCAGCGGTGAGCCCCGCCCGCCGCCCGCATGCACCCCCCCGCATGCACCCCCTGCATGCGCCCCGCAGCCAGCTCCGCGGTCATGCTTCTGTAACCGGCCCAGGCTGAGTTAGCCTACAGAAGGCGGATCTTGTTTTAATACTTCCGTCTGTGCCTTCCGTGGAACCTCTGATTTTATCATTATTATTTATGTAGCTTGAGTAGACTTGGGGCTGTCATTGGCCGGGTCCCTTGGGGCTGTCATTGGCCGGGTCCCTTGGGGCTGTCATTGGCCGGGTCCCTTGGGGCTGTCATTGGCCGGGTCCCTTGGGGCTGTCAGGCTTCTCTGTAGGCCTGTTGAGAGGGCTTTTCAGATCTTGTGCCATGCTGTGCTTCCGGGTGCCAGTGGAGTAATGGAGTGAATTTTGCTGTCCTTCCAGATGGGAATGTCCCCTTCCCGGATGCCCCAGGCGCAAAGCATGATGGGAGCGCATGGCAACAACATGGTGGGCCAGACTGCAAACCAGGCCCAGTTCATGCCTCAGACTCAGTTCAGCGGGGCAATGAATGTGAACGTGGGTTTGGGGCAGCCCAGTGCACAGGCTCCCATCCCCCAGGTGAGCGGGGCGGGGGGGCTAATCGCAGCATGGTGGCCATTGTCACTTTCCCACCAAAGTTCAGGAACCTGCACAGCGTAACAGGAACTGGGACCTTTATGTTAAATAAGCAGGAGAGACGCAAAAAGCTCGTAGGTTAAACTTCACGCACAATTTCATAAGAAACTACGCAGCCACGACAAAACATGGTGAACAAGTTATTTTGTTAGTTATTTGTTAGTTACTGGGGGATCAAATGCGCCGTCTGAAAATACAGAACAAATCCTGGCCTGTATTGGTTGAAAATGGGACACACCATTTTATCTGTAGTTTATGTATATGGCCACTGATATGTTTATAAGTTATTATTAATTCTGGCCAGCAGATCTAACTTTCATTTTACGTAGAGTGAAAATTGTGATGTTTTTCTGATAATAAGCACTGGCAGGTTTCGGAACCAGTGCGAGCAATACCAGACAGAAATGTACTGGTTATCGGTCAAATTCTCCAATACAGAAATATTGAGATGCAAACAAAAAAAAAAAGCTACTTTAATGCATTTTAATGTAATTGAGATGCAAAGGAATTCCATCTGGTCAATTTTCTCTCCACACTTCCATGCAATTTTCAAGTGCCAGTGCTTGTGGTTTATCGCTATAAGCCCCATCCAGGAGTTCTTGGTCAAGCGAAAAGTACCTACTCCAGAGCAGGGAAACAGGCTCAGGAACTACCTCTCAAGAAGTTCCTGCAGTGGGAACATGATAGAAGCTCCTGGTTCCTGAAAAGGGTTCCAGTTCCTGAAGAAAAATTTCATGCGGTGGAAAAATGCCTTATTTGAACCATTCACTACATGGTGGGGAGGGGGGGACTGGTTGAGTGTTGAAATGTTAAAATAGGCAGCAGCGCCATCCGGAGTGCACATGGTGATACTGTAACGGACGGCATCGGGCCATTTTCTCTCTAGCAGCAGCAGCCGCCACCGCAGCAGAACGCTAACCTCGCCATGAATGCCCTCGGCCCCATGGCGCCCCAGCTGCCCTGTGCCCCGCCCACCCAGCCCTCACTGCATGGCACTCCGCCCCCCACCTCAGTCGCCGGCGGCCCCGGCCTGCAGCAGCTCCAGCACGTCACTCCCCCGCAGGCCCAGCCGTCAAGCCGGGCCTCCACCCCTGCCCCCGCGCCGGGCCCCACCCCCATGCTGGGGACTCCGCCCACCCCAGCCCAGCCGCGCACGCCTCTGCCGCCCCAGCCGGACCCCGGTGCGCAGATCCAGCAGCCCCCGTCTGCACAGCCGCAGCCCCCCACCACTCCGGTGAGAGTCGGGGTCGTTCTGCAGACCGCTTTTCATTTTCCCTTAATCCCCACTTCGCTTTCCACCTTTGTTTAATTAATTGTTTGCAACAAACCAGGGATCCTGAGAGAATGTAATATATACCAAAAAGAGACACAGCGGACTAATTTTGGGGCCGGGATTGCAGGCTGCCGACGTTTTGTGGGTAACATTCTGTGCCTGTTGTCTCCTGCAACCCCCCCCCCCCCCCCCCCCCCCAGCTTTCACAGGCTGCGACTAGTGCAGACAACCGTGTTCCCACTCCATCCTCTGTGCTGGGGGGGGACCTGCACTCTCAGCATGCCCTACCTGACCGGCCTGTTCACGAGTCCAAACCTGAACCCCGGGACGAAGAGCAGGACTTCCAGTCCGGAGGGTTGAAGTTGGAGCCCAAAGCGGAGGTGCGTGTCGACGCAGGGGACTGGCCAGTGAGTTCGGCCGGGTGTGGGTCTGGGTGGCGTCTCTGCTCAAAGGCACGGTAGTATGAATCATAACAGGACACGGCAGAACTACTCCTTGCTAAAACGTACTGTAACCTTCTCAACCTCTGTGATTCCTGCCTCCCCCAATATCCAGACCATCTAGAGGGTGGTAAAGATGAATGGCATAAAACTGCAGCCATTACATTTTGTGGAGTTGTGTTACTCACTGAAAATGTGCCTTTTTCTGCTCAGTGGCTAATGTTTGAATCAGACTCTGTTTTAATGACTTTCTAAATGCCACAGTGAGTGTTCAACATACGGGATGCTGTTTTTTTTTAATGAAATCATTGGCTGTGAAGCATTCGGTGATTACAATGATGGACTTAAACGACTCATGATTAGTTTTAATTGCTTCAAAACCTTTCCAAAATGTTTTTCATATCCTCCGAGCGGCTGCATAAGTGATTAAATTAAAAACGACGTGTACCTCTGAAGAGGTGGCTTCTGGGGCATGAGCACCACTTTTGGGAATGTTTATACTGACTATTTACTGACTGACTGACTGGAACTCCAGCTTCATATGAAATTTGTTAGCTAAACAGGAAGTAAGCATGATATTTACCTAGCGAAATTAAGTGCCTCTATGAAAACGCAATAAATACAAGCTCAAGTACAGCATTGTGCTAACAACTCAAAGGTGATGGGTTCAAATCCCAAAGAGCGAACACAAATTGTAACTATAAATTGCTTTAAATGATAGTATCGGGTAAATGAATAAAAGGTAGATAATATATATATTTAAAGCTCAATAGGCACTGATTTAAGGAATGCTTTATTATGAGATTTGAGCGCTGCCCTCCCCCCCCCCCCCCCCTTGTTCTTAAACGCTTTGTCCTTTGTCTGTTAAACTTTTTTTTTTTAAGGTGAGGGGGCCATTTAGAGCTGCCTTTGTATGGCGCTCAGCCCCAGTTATGTACTGCTCTCCCAGCCCAATTCTGCATGCGCAAAGAAACCAAACAAATGAGGCGTTCAAATTCCAGATTTTTTCTTTCGAGCTCCACATCCGAGGAACGCTGCCATGAAGACCGATGGCTTCGGCGCTGCTGCTTTGAGTTTTGAGACCCATGTGCTCATATATTCCACAGACAGGTTTAATAATGCTAAATGTCACTTTGCTCTTTTTTGTTCAAATGCTGTAATAACGTAACATTCTAAGGCATCTTACCATCTAAAATGTCACAATAAAGGAAATTAGTACCAGGCAAAGCCTGCATCTTCATATATATGCCCCCGACTGCCTGCAAAACAGATTCTTAAGTCACCACCATGGAGCACTGTGGATCTTCTGCCTTCCGCTTGCCGTTGAGTGTCTTGCCTTGTGTTTGCATCACTAGGAATGATGCGGAAAGTCAAAAAGGAATTTCGATTTGCGTGGCAAGGATTAAATGTGGGTTGTGTTTTGGAACTCTGGGCGTACGCTCTGCCTCTGCTCTTAGTCTGTTTGCCGTAGTGTGGGTTACAATCCAGCACCTTGCATTTCATATTGGTCAGCCAGCCCATCCAGAGATCACTGGCTCTGTGGGACGGGTGTGGCCGCTGTGCCGTGTGACCATCTTGGACCACTGTTAATCCAGATGGAGAATCATTATTTTATCAACACTGAAATTTTCACAGTCCGTTTCTTAATGTGAAATCACAATCGGCAAGGAACTGCAATGCAGTGTCACACCTGAAAGTTTGCAGTAGCTATTTTAACTTGAACCTGCTTGCAGCTTCTTTGCCAAGAGTAAGATTTCCAGTCTAATAGTAAACTGGCATGTTTCATTCCCTTAAACAGTTTTAATATGAAAGTCCTGTACAAGTCTCGGGGATGACAGATCAGCATCTCTCTGTCGTCTTCAGCCCCATTGATGTGCTGGCAGACAGGACTGTGGCCTATAGCCCTATGTTATCCGTGTCATAGAATTGGCTGTTTGTCTCCGTGACGCTTCACCTCGTCTTTCTCTGCTTAATGTTTAGGCTCTGCCAGGCATAAGCTGGCATCTCCAACTTAGTCCTGTTTTAGTTCACGTTCAGCCAATCTTTCAAAAAACCAGTGATGGCAAAATGCTGCAGGTTGAAATCCCATGACACTTCCACGGAATGGTTTGGTTTCAGATGAGTGAAATACGATATTCTGGCAAAATGTCATGTAATTCTGAATAGCTCTGAGGTCAGTGTGCTTAGTCAGAGGCCTGAAACTTCCCCTTGTTTCCTTTTCTCTCCTTCAGTCGGAGGAGGACTCCTCATCCATGGTGAAGAAAGAGGATCCAGAGGGCTCAGACTTCAAGCAGGAGCCCATGGATGTGGAGGAGAAGGTAGAGGTGAAGCCAGAGCCCAAGGAGGAAGATGAGGAGGGCGGGGCCAACGGCTCCACCACATCCACACCCGCCTCACAGTCCCGCAGGAAGAGTAAGAACATGGGCCCGTCTCGCTGTCTTTGTCCTGGATGGCTGGTTCTCACCAGGACGCTTTCGTTTTTGTGACTGATCCAGGTTATTCTTTGTCTCCTGTTTTTTTCACCCAAATGTTCTTTTTCACCTCACTGCTGTAACACCTCCTGCTCGCCCGCCGCTGTCCAGTCTTCAAGCCCGAGGAGCTGCGCCAGGCCCTGATGCCCACGCTGGAGTCCCTGTACCGCCAGGACCCAGAGTCGCTGCCCTTCCGGCAGCCTGTGGACCCCATGAGGCTGGGCATCCCGGTGGGTCCTGTGGTCAGGGATCTGCAGTTAGGATACATCTACCTGTCTAATTTATCCAGTACTGGGTGAGCTTGGAAGGGCAGAGCACCCCCTAGATGGTATGCCAATCCATCACTGGGCATACACACATACAAGAGAATTTTTAAAGACCCAAATTAACCTAGAATAGTGTTAATCAATGCAAATCAATTCAAATTCAGATTTTTATTTGTCACATACAGTCATACACAGTACGATATGCAGTGAAATGCTTAGACAACTGCCCGTTAAAATAAAACACTATTAATAGGAAATAAATATGAAAAAGAAAATAGAAAGTAAATTTAACTGAGAATAAAATATCTGTACAATACAAAATATACAATATTAGAAAAATATAAGGAAAATATAAGAAAAATAAGAAAAACCTAGCTGTTCAATATAGAAAATATAGAATTTCTGGAATTTTTGTGTGGGAATGAAGTGAATATAAATAGAAATGTCCAGGGGGTGTGCAAATGTGCCTGAAAGTGTCATATTTAAAGTGACTTAAGTGCATCAGAGAAACAGAATAAAATAGAATAAATAACTTATGTCCATGAATGTGCAGGTGTGCAGTGACCACTAGTGTCAATGAATGTCCCGAATGTGCAGGTGTGCAGTGACCACTAGTGTCAATGAATGTCCCGAATGTGCAGGTGTGCAGTGACCACTAGTGTCAATGAAGTCCATGAATGTGCAGGTGTGCAGTGACCACTAGTGTCAATGAATGTCCCGAATGTGCAGGTGTGCAGTGACCACTAGTGTCAATGAATGTCCCGAATGTGCAGGTGTGCAGTGACCACTAGTGTCAATGAATGTCCATGAATGTGCAGGTGTGCAGTGACCACTAGTGTCAATGAATGTCCCGAATGTCTAGAGTCAGTGCAAGAAACATATGTGTGGATGTGCAAAATGGATCAGTACTGTGTGGTGTACTGATTTAGAGACCGTATCGCCTGCGGGAAGAAGCTCCTCAGTCTTTCTGTATTGGTCTTCAGGGAGCAGTCCACATTTACCCCCCGACAGTCCACATTTACCCCCAGACAGTCCACATTTACCCCCCGACAGTCCACATTTACCCCCAGACAGTCCACATTTACCCCCAGACAGTCCACATTTACCCCCCGACAGTCCACATTTACCCGGTATCCTTGGTTGCTTGATTGTTTGGTTCATGTCTGCTGGCAAGGAGTAAAAAATGTGTACTGTGTGCAGGGTCCACAAGCACTGTGGTGAGACATATGAGTTCACAGGAATCCTGTAGGAACACAGAGAACATGCAAACTTACATGCACAGCACGGAGGGTGGACCAGTCCACAGCCCTGGAGGTGTGAGGCCACCGGCTGCCCTCGGGTTTCCATTTTCTGATATTTCTAAGAAATCGGGGCGCTATCCCACCTCACCAGGTACCATATTTTCGGTACTTCAAGTAAGTACCAAAATATGGTACTTCAAGGTATTGGTTTTCCACTAGTGTAAAAACTGGTACCGACACCAAATAACATCACAGCACAAGGCAGGGTATTTTGTACTCAGTTTGGAAAAATGGCTGTAGTATATTATAGGGTTGGGCAAGGTGTGATATTAATACCAACATCGTATGTTATGGAACATGCAGTTCTAACATAGCTGCTCAGCTAGATTGAGATCAGGTTGTTTCACTCCATCATACTGTACGGACATTATAGCGCAAAATGTTACGTTTCGCTAAAACCTTTTTACTGTGTCCTCGGGGGGGGGGGGGGGGGAATTAGCAAGCTCTGCAATTTTAGTTGTTATTCCTTTTCAAGATTGTTTAATATGCGTTTAAAAATAACTTTTTAAGTTTACCTTCACTGCTTTTGCATGAGTGCTGCATGTTTTCTCAGAGATATTCATATTCATTATCATCCTTACTGTTTATATCACTCAGACGGCTTTGAAACTCCTTTTTTGAATACCTCAGTATCTATGGCAAATCACATTCCAATATCGTGCTGCCCTGGGATATTATACAAAACACTTCATTTCCTGTCATGTCGTCTTGATCTTGTATCTGTTCATCCTTGAATCTCTAAATGTGTCCATGCATCCATTATTATTATTATTATGAGTAGTAGTAGTAATATGATTCATATTATTGTTGTTGTTAATATTAATGCTAATTTATTTCTTTGTTTCTTTTACTTTGTTTTCTGAGTTAACTTTTTTCAAGACAGCAGTTGTGTTGTGTTCCAGATGCAGGCTATTTGCATAACCAATTGACAGAAAACATTTTAAAGTCCCATCCCAAAGTACTAAAGTACCAGAGAAGTACACCAGCTGGTTTGGTACTCTGGGTACTGGAACTTCTGGTACTGGTACTCGACCACAAGTCAGTGGAAAAGGGAAGATACTAAAAGTACGGTACCTAGTGTGGTGGAAAAGCGCTCTTAGTTGTGGGATGTTTTTGAAATGCCTGCTGGGGCATTAAAATTAACCCTAAGTGCCCTTTAGGGCAGAAGGAAACGGTGCAAGTTGTGGAATGTTTGGTTCTGTAAGACGGACCAATTTGATTTGTCTGTTAAATGTCTTTCATCATTGAGTTTTTCTAGCGAGTCCTGATTTACCGCCGCTGGCTGCTTGCTGTCAGGCACTTAATGCATCATTTCTTGCACTAACAGCTACTGCAAGCTTCAGTGATGACATAGCAGCTTTCGGCCGTGAACCTTTCAATCAGCTTATTAATTCCTCACGTGTCATCAGATTAAAGGGGAAAGGAGAGGAATGGAACCAGCAGAGGTCATTGTCATGCCTTTTATGGCCATATTCATGCTGACGGGTGATTGAAAGTCTGCCGGTATTCACGATTTAGTGACATAAATTATAATTATGAAGCTGGCTTGGGCCCCCTTTGGGATGTGCTAGCTGTTTATGGTCCTCTTCTTCTCTGGTCCGCCAGGACTACTTCGACATCGTGAAGAACCCCATCGACCTGTCCACCATCAAGCGCAAGCTGGACACGGGCCAGTACCAGGAGCCCTGGCAGTACGTGGACGACGTCTGGCTCATGTTCAACAACGCCTGGCTCTACAACCGCAAGACCTCGCGCGTCTACAAGTACTGCTCCAAGCTGGCCGAGGTCTTCGAGCAGGAGATCGACCCGGTCATGCAGAGTCTGGGTTACTGCTGCGGGAGGAAGGTAAGTAGCCTGTGGCTGGCTGAGAGAGCTGGGGTTTAGGGGTACGGCGGCCGGAGCCGTCGTCCCTTCTTTCGGGGGAAAGGTGGCATAGTGGTTAAGGTGCAGGTCACCTGATCAAAAGCTCGCTGGTCTCCGACCCCCACCCCAAGACCAATGGCTGCTGTGCCTGTGGATTGGTCTGTAGGTACTTGAGGGGGTCGAATGAGTTAGTGAAGGATTGTCCTGCATGTACTGGGGGGGGGGGGTGTTTACGTTTTTATTTATTTAGCAGATGCTTTTATACAAAGCAAACATTTACACATAACTGCGACTAAGAGCCTTGCTAATGGGCCCAACAGTGACATCACTGGGATTTGAACCAGCGGCTTTCTAGTCACAGTCACTGTGTGCCGACCTGCAGACACCCCCTCCAATGTCTGTGCAGTGGGAGGGTGCCGCTGACTTGTCGCGAGCTCATCTCCCTGTTTTCATTTGCCCCTGGCTGCGTGTGCCAGTCGTGTGACATACATATGAGATATCTGCTAAACGCGAATAAACACCTGACTGCCGCGTCTCTCCCCCTCTTTCCGTCTCGCCGTCGCAGTATGAGTTCTCGCCTCAGACGCTCTGCTGCTATGGCAAACAGCTCTGCACTATTCCTCGAGACGGCACCTACTTCAGCTACCAGAACAGGTGAGCCCTCAGGGGTCAGGATTGAGAAAAGGCTTCCTGTGTGTTAATGTCTTATTTGTAAGCTTGGATTTAAGTTCACGCTTCACTTCTGTCCATCTGCGACGGAGGTGCTCAGTTTTTTTTCCCAGGGGTCCAAATTCCAGCATCGTCTGATAAAATTTCCGGGGGGGGAGGCGGGGTTTTGGTGACCATGGGTGGTTTGATTCGACGATTTCATCAACAAAGGGGGGTCTGACCAGTGCGTGTGTGGATTAATCGCATGGTCTGGATTAAGTTGTTTCTGTCCAGTTGCAGACTGGAGTCCACCATTTGATACCCCTTCTCTAGAGTGCTGAATTGATATGTTGCTGTTTTAAATGTGTGTACACCTTCAGTGGCCACTTTTTTAGGTACACCTAGCTAGTACTGGTCAGAACTCACCTTCGCCTCCAGAACCTTCCGCAAGTACCATTCCTGTTAGCTGTCCGTTCTCCCGTTCTCCTCTGACCCTGTCCTACTGACAGGATGTTTCCAGCCCCACAAATGCCGTGACTGAATGCTCTTTGTTCATAAAGCTGTTCCTTGGAAACTGCATGAACATCCCAGGATGGTGCACCAGTAATCACGCCACGTTCACAATCACTTTTATTAGGCTGTTCTAGTTTTCAGTCAAACAGTAACTGTACCTCTTGCATTGAGTTGCCGCCGCATGATTGGCTGTTTGGATGAGCAGGTTTTTTGCATTACTGAGCAGGTTTACCTAACAAAGTGGCTGCTGTGTATGTAGTGTGTGTGCCCACATATGAACTGCATCACGGGAAAATCAGAGGAGACCCCAGGCTCCAGATCTGTTCCCATTTCGCATTGGGATTTCGCAAGAGCCCAGCGGAGGAGAGAGTGGCGCCGGACAGCTGCGGCTAAATCAAGGCAGATGTTGTTCTTATTGCTTCTCCTGCGGGCTTGACATTTCTGGTAGCGTTCTGTGATCCCAGCCAGCTATTGTTCCCCAGTCAGTGTGTGTCTGATGCCTTAGTTCTAGTGGAAGCAAACCTTCAATTGCTATTAGTAACAGAATGCAGATGAGAGGCATCTGAAGCCATTCTGTCTGCCAGGCAACCGTCCGTTTTAACCATTCCCATTAACTAGCACGCTCATGAGGCGAGCTGGACACGGAGCACCTCTGTGCAAGTGTCCCTCTGCTCCCCCTGCTGTTCAGTTCCTGCTACTGCAGTTGGCCAAAACTAGATTTTTATTCAGAGCTGCAGTCACAGATCCATTGGTTCCCAACCCGAGGTCTGGGCCCCTACTACGAACATATTTTTTAACAAAACAATATGACTGAGTAGTTGCTTTGTCTGCGATTTGATACAGTGCATTTCTTCAAAATCTAGGAGGGGTGTCTGTAGCAATTATGGATAAAAATTGGAGACGTTTTTGTGCTTCTAATAATGAAAAATTGGAGCTTATTACAGCCTGTTGCAGAGTGTCTCAAGGCCATCGGCATCGAACCCGTGCGGTTTTGTGCTGGGACGAGCTACTCATGCGCACATGTCCTTGTCCCCGGCAGGTACCACTTCTGTGAGAAGTGTTTCAACGAGATCCAGGGCGACAGCGTCACCCTCGGCGACGACCCTGCACAGCCTCAGACGTGAGCTTTCGCCGTCTGCCACAAAACATCCTCTAATACTTTCCTTACTGTTTAGCTAACAAAAAAAAAAAAAGATTTTTTGTCCCGATGTTGGCTTATTGAACATATGCTGGGCAGATTGTTTCTTATTTTTAAAAAGGTTGTTGGTTTCATTCATATTAAAAATGAAGTTCTGTCTTTTTCCTTCTAGTATGATATCTAAAGAGCAGTTTGAGAGGAAGAAAAATGACTCATTAGATCCAGAACCGTAAGTAAATGTTTTTTTTTGTTTTTTAATGCTGAAGCCCAGTGTTGAAATGTGCGGAAATGTTTGAATTGTTGTTATGACCCATTTCGTTGCTGACTGACCTGCCGTGTGACAGCGCATCCCCCACCCCCAACTCAGATTTGTCCCAGCCATTGAGACAGACTTTTTGTTGTCCCCCGCCACCAACATATACACACGCAGGTTCGTTGAATGTAAGGATTGCGGACGGAAGATGCACCAGATCTGCGTGCTACACTACGAAGTCATCTGGCCCGCAGGGTGAGCCCGCCGCTCTCTGCTGCCGCGCAGCTTTATTTCCGTTTTAGCAAGCAGGACTGGTGTCCAGTCTTCACAGCCAAGCAGGCTGCTGCGGGAAAGATGTGGCATGAGGCACACTGGTAGTGTGGAAGTGAGAGCTTGCACACAGCTAGCAGTTGCAGGAAGACGTGGCCAGTGTCCCTTAGCAAACAGGTAGCATTTGCACGGAGACATGGCCAGTGTCCTCTAGCGAACAGCTAGCAGTTGCGGGGAGACATGGCCAGTGTCCTCTAGCGAACAGCTAGCAGATGCGGGGAGAGAGGGCTAGTGCTACTGTTGCCTCTCCCGATTGGCTGCTTGACTGATGATAGAATTATCTTTTGACAGTTTCATCTGCGATGACTGTCTGAAGAAGACTGGGAGAACAAAGAAGGAGAACAGGTTTTCTGCCAAAAGTGAGTGTTTTTTTTTTTGTATGAGTGTTTTTGAGATTAAGGGCTTGCGCTGAGAGCCGTCCACTCCCAGTCATCCCAGTCTCTAGACATGCCCTCGTACCCTCAAAGGTGTTGGTATTCTGGGTCTTGCTGCCTTTCTTTACGTTGGTTGGGTTTAGGATGGTTTGTGGGTCACTCCGGAAGCATGCCTCTTGATCCACTGACACTCGTGGCTTGCTGATGTTGGCAATGTGTAACCCTGGGGCCTCCTCATTAAGGTTGCAAAATTCTGGAAATTTTCCTGTTAATTCCCATATATTCCCATGGAAAGTTTCCAATTTGTAGTATTTCCAAAATTCCCCAGCTTATCTTCCCATGGAATGGAAATATTCTGCAAAGTTTCTGGAAATTTTCCATCCCTTTGCAACCCTACTCCTCATGGCACATGTCCATACCCCCACCCACAGGGCTGCAGACCACCAAGCTGGGAACGTACATAGAAGACCGGGTCAACAAGTACCTGAAGCGGCAGAACCACCCAGAGGCCGGGGAAGTGTTCGTGCGAGTGGTGGCCAGCTCCGACAAGACGGTGGAGGTCAAACCCGGGATGAAGTCCAGGTAAAAGACGCATCAGCTAACCTGTGCATTGCCCTCAAAGGTGTAAATGGCATCATCATTGTACAGCCTGTGGGGAAGATGGTGGTGCGGGAGGTAGTGCTATCGTTCGGCAACCAGAGGGTTGCAGGTTCAAGCCCTGGTTCCTCCTGACCCCATCAAAGTGTCCTTGAGCAAGACACTGAACCCCAAATTGCTCCCGGTGTGCAGGTTGGCACCTTGCATGGCAGCCTTTGCCCCTGGTGTATGAATGTGAGTGTGGATGGTGAATGTGAGGCATGTATTGTAAAGCGCTTTGAGTACTCGTAGGAGTAGAAAAGCGCTATATAAATGCAGTCCATTTACCATTTAACATCACTGGAATATCTGACTGGAGCCTATATAAAAGTACATTTTTGGCTTTCCATGAGTGAACTATTCTGTGCCCTTGTCTTAGGGTACTTACGGTTATCTCAGGGTAAGTCACCTCTAAAGACCCTCCTGTTACTCTGCCAGGTTTGTGGATATAGGTGAGATGGCAGAAAGCTTCCCCTACAGAACCAAAGCACTTTTCGCTTTTGAAGAGATAGATGGAGTGGACGTGTGCTTCTTCGGGATGCATGTCCAGGAGTACGGCTCGGACTGCCCCTTTCCCAACACCAGGTGAGCGTCCGGGCTCAGGGCAGCCTGCCTTAACCCCGTAATAAGGAACAGAACTGACTGCCAACAGACCTTGTCCCTTCTAGAACTTGCCTGTCATGTGTTGGATAGTTCAGTTACTCTGCCAGGTGCTTAACACAAATACATCCTCTTCCTCCTTCAACAGACGGGTATACATATCATACCTCGACAGTATTCACTTCTTCAGGCCCCGGATCCTCCGAACTGCAGTCTACCACGAGATCCTGATTGGTTATCTGGAGTATGTCAAGAAGCTTGGGTAGGTTCGGGCTTGTCAAAGGCCTTACGAATGTGATGCAGCCAGTTGGGTGCTAAGTACCAGTAATATTTCATTGGCCGATTTGTAAATCGCCATTAAATTTGTTACAGTCCATATGGTGAGATCAGGTTGCTGAAGTGTTGCCTGTCCTCACCTGTGCAGGTACGTCACAGCACACATCTGGGCCTGCCCGCCCAGCGAGGGGGACGATTACATCTTCCACTGCCATCCAGCAGACCAGAAGATCCCCAAGCCCAAGCGGCTGCAGGAGTGGTACCGGAAGATGCTGGACAAGGCCTTTGCTGAGAGGATCCTACATGACTATAAGGTTGGCTGCCTTATAGTCATCACAGTATCTCAGTCCAGACTCGCTCCTGTTTCTTTTGTTTGCTTTGTCATGGGCAGGAGAGGAATCGGCCTGGCTCTCTTTGATGCTGCATGGTCACTGTGGTGTGTTACGCTTGAGTTAGTCATTGAACATTGTACAGCCTCCTACAATAGACTAAAAAATGCATGATGCATGAGCTCTACTAACTTAGCTCTTTTGTGTTTTGTCCATGTGCACATGCAACAGGACATCTTCAAGCAAGCAACGGAGGACCGGCTGACCAGCGCCAACGAGCTTTCGTACTTCGAGGGCGACTTCTGGCCCAATGTGCTGGAGGAGAGCATCAAGGAGCTGGAACAGGAGGAGGAGGAGCGCAAGAAGGAGGAGAACACGGCAGCCTGCGAGCCGCCAGAGGTTTGTCATAGTGGGGGGGCAAAGGGGGCCGAAAGCAGTCTGAGCCTGTCTAGGCATGTTTGTGAGCAAATGCAAGCAAAGTAACATCTCACCCATAGTTATATTCAAGCAGCGATGTTTAAAAAAGTGCATAGAACACGTCAGTGAATTCGGTGCTCATCCTCTAGAACAGGGGTCTCCAGCTCCGGTCCTGGAGAGCTGCTAGCCATTACGTTTTCCATCCTATCTGGCTTCTGATGAGCCACATCTGTTCTCCAGTAAATACCAGGTAGGATAGTAAACTTACTGGATAGTAGCTCTGCAGGACCGGAGTTAGAGACCCCTGCTCTAGAAAAATAAGGACCTGTCAAAAGCTCCCCAGTGATTTCAGTTTTTATATGGAGTAGGTGTGGATTCCTCAGAAATAGTTAACATGCATAATATTTTCCTGGAATGGCTCTTGCCGTGTTCCTCCCAAGGGCTCAGGGAGCTTAAATTGTTTCCCATATTATTTGTGTCTTATTTCAATGCAGTATAGGATGCTAACTCTAAATGCCCCCCTTCCACTCTCTCGTAAAAACGTTTCGTGAAGAGTGAGTTTCGGCCGTAATCGCTGCTATGGGGTTTAACACTATGAGGCTTGAGCCTGGCTAGTTCTCCTTGCCTCTGGTCACACGTGCCTGTGTTCGCTCTTCCCAGGGGACGCCAGGCGACAGCAAGAACGCCAAGAAGAAGAACAGTAAGAAGACTAACAAAAACAAAAGCAGTCTAAGCCGGGCCAACAAGAAGAAGGCCGGCATGCCCAACGTAGCTAACGACTTGTCCCAGAAGCTCTACGCCACCATGGAGAAGCACAAGGAGGTGAGTCACGGTGCCTGAAACACTTCTGAGATTTTCTCCAGTAATCTGCAGATGTTTTGCTGGTCCCATCCGGAGGTGGAATCCTGTAGGAATCACCAGGGTTTGACCACAAGCCTGCATTCCTCCTGTTACCTGGGGACTGTCACTCTTGGCCCGTTCCAGGTGTTCTTCGTGATCCACCTGCATTCGGGGCCCATGGTGAACACGCTGCCCCCCATCATGGACCCGGACCCGCTGCTGACGTGCGACCTGATGGACGGGCGCGATGCCTTCCTGACGCTGGCGCGCGACAAGCACTGGGAGTTCTCCTCACTGCGGCGCTGCAAGTGGAGCACCATGTGCATGCTGGTGGAGCTGCACCACCAGGGCCAGGACCGCTTCGTCTACACCTGCAACGAGTGCAAGCATCATGTGGAGACGCGCTTCCACTGCACCGTCTGCGAGGTACACTCCGCCCGCCTTGTTTTAAAGACACATGAAGCCCAGCCTTGCTTTCTTCTGCTGACATTCTGGCTCTTTTCTCCTTCCAGGATTTCGACCTGTGTATCAACTGCTACAACACTAAGGGTCACGAGCACCAGATGGTGAAGTGGGGCCTGGGACTGGACGACGACAGCAACGGCCAGGGGGGCGAGGCCTCCAAGAGCCCGCAGGAGAGCCGCCGCCTCAGCATCCAGCGCTGCATCCAGTCACTGGTGCATGCCTGCCAGTGCCGCAACGCCAACTGCTCGCTGCCGTCCTGCCAGAAGATGAAGCGCGTGGTGCAGCACACCAAAGGCTGCAAGCGCAAGACCAATGGCGGCTGCCCCGTGTGCAAGCAGCTGATTGCGCTCTGCTGCTACCACGCCAAGCACTGCCAGGAGAACAAGTGCCCTGTGCCCTTCTGCCTCAACATCAAGCACAAGCTGCGCCAGCAGCAGCTGCAGCACCGGTTGCAGCAGGCGCAGATGATGCGCCGGCGCATGGCCACCATGCAGGGCCGTGGCGCCCCCCAGAGCTTGCCCTCCCCGCCTACCTCAGCGGCCACACCCGGCACACCCACCTCCCACCAGCAGCCTGGCACACCGCAGACCCCGCAACCCCTGCCTCCGCCTCCATCTCAGCCAACCACACCCAGTGGCGGCGTCCTCTCTCCCGCCTTCCAGGCCGGCCCACGAGCCGGCCAGCCCCCGGCCCCAGCCTCTCAGGGCAAGCCACAGGGCCCGCAGGCTTCACCCTTGCACCAGCAGCAGTCCCCCCTGCCCCAGCAGCCCCAGGTGCAACAGCCCCAGCCTGCGCAGCAGCAGCAACTGCAACCACAGCAGCAGCAGCAGCCACCACCAGCTGCGGTGAAGATGGCGCGGCATATCGAGCGTGTCGCCCAGGCGCAGCAGCAGAGCCAACATCTCGGCTACCGGGTCAACATGAATGGCTTGCACCAGCAGCGCCCGCCGGGGCCTCTGCCAGCCACCATGCAGATAGTTGGCCCCCGTGGTCCCCCAGTCATGCAGGCGGTGCCACCCGGCCAGTGGCCCGGAGGCCCTCAAGGGCCCATGCAGGCTACACTGTCCCCACAACAACAACAACAGCAGCAGCAAGTCCCTCCTCAGCAGCAACTTCCTCCCCAGGGTCCCCCGGCCGCCATGCCCATGCAGAGGCCCCTGATGCCCCAGCAACAACCCCGTATGCCTGGGGCTGCTCCGCCACCGCAGGGCCCCTCACAGCAGACTCCCCAGCAGGGGGGCCCCATCGCTGCTGCCGCTTTGCAGGACCTCCTGCGCACACTCAAGTCACCCAGCTCACCGCAACAGCAGCAGCAGGTCCTCCGCATCCTCAAGTCCAACCCGCAGCTCATGGCCGCCTTCATAAAGCAGCGGACTGCCAAGTACCAGGCCAGCCAGCCACCGCAGCAACAGCAGCAGGTGCAACAGCAGCAGGCCCCGCCACCGCAGCAGCCCCCCCAGGGCATGCACACAGGCCAGTCCAACCTTGCCGGCCTGGCCCCCGTGCCTGGCGGGGCGGTGCAGCGGCCCGGCATGCCCCCCCAGCCACCTCAGCAGGGCATGGGAGCTCTGGTGCCACAGGGGCAACTGATGAACCCCGGACACAATCCCAGCCCACAGCTCCAGGAGCTGTATCGCCGGCAGCTACTTCAGCGACAGCAGCAGCAGCAGCAACAACAGCAGCAGCTGCAGGGCACCATGGCCCAGTCCCACAGCCAGTTTCCCCAGACCCAAGCCTCCGCTGCAAGCTACTCCCAGCTCCGCATGCAACAGCAGCAGCAGCAGCAACAACAACAGCAGCAGCAGCAGCAGCAGCTGGCCATGCAGGGTGGCGCCGGGCCAATGGGTCAGCAGCCATCCAAGCCGCAGATGGGCATGGATGGCTCGCAGAACCTGCTGCACCCGCGCCTGCTCCAGCAGCAGCAGCAGCAGCACCCGCAGCAGCAGGCCATGCTGAAGTCACAGATGGGCTCGCCCGCCCAGCCCGGTCCCATGAGTCCTCAGCCGCACATGCTCCCCGGCCAAGTGCGGTCGCCCGCCCCTGTGCAGTCACCATGCCCACCATCGCAGCAGCAGCCCCCTCCGCATTCCAGCCCCTCGCCCCGGATACAGCCGCAGCCCTCCCCGCAGCACGCGCCCACCCACACGGGCTCGCCCCACCCTGGCCTGGCCGCCCCCATGGGCGGCCCTTTGGATCAGGGGCACCTAGGCACGCCGGAGCAGAGCGCCATGCTCCCACAGCTGAACACGCCCAGCCGCGGAGGACTGCCCGGGGACTTGGCCATGGGGGGGGACCCATCGGGGGACACGCTGGAGAAGTTTGTGGAGAGTTTGTAGCATTTATGGGGGTAGATTAAAAGAAAAATGCTTTCCCTCTCCTTTCCAGCTTTTCCCCCCCTCAAAGAACTTTTGTACTGACATGTAAAAAGTTTAAAGGAATTTAAAAAATAAAGTCAACAATGCTAGGGAATGTCTCCTAATGTGAGAGACGCCTGTTTCTTCCTACAAATCAAGGGATTTGAAAATTGCTGTTAAAAAAAAAAAGGAAATCACAAAGAATATATTTTTGGTTTGGACCAGTTTTGGTCTGTTTTTTTTTTGTTTTGGTATGAATTCATGACTTTTTTTAAAAGAATTTATGGAACTATTTCATTATATTATTCATACATTTTATTTTGTACCTTTGCGGACTTTAAAACATTTTTGTGTTGAAAGACTGTAAAATATTTTGTCTGGGAAGCAGGCCAGCTTCTCTCTATCTCTCTCCTCATTCCTTACAAATGGATTCTTAATGATGTACCGATTTTCAAAAGGATATACTTTTGAGAAGAATTCCTTTTCCCTTTGTTAATTGTAAAGTCTGTGCAAATAAAAGTATTCATTTGTATAGATAGGACCTAGAGTATTGCACACGCACACACATGCGCACGCACACACACAAACACACTCAAAATACCAGTTCTCCCAAACACACACAAACACATGCACACGCACCAATGTAAACACTCAAGTCCATGTGAACATCTCACTGGCCTGGAACCGGAATTTGTCTTGCAGATGTAGAAAATTGTTGCTTTGTTTCTCCTTTGAGATCTTTGAAATTAGTCCTATAAATATAGTTATATAAAAACGATTTAATTCCTATACTGCCCTGAACAGATCAGTTTGACTGCTGATTTGAACAGAGAAAGAGTTCTGTCTATCCTCCTTCCCCGAACACGAAACTTGAATCGAGGGTGATCTTTTTCTCTTGTGTAAAATCATGCAAGTTATTACATGAAATGCTATAAATATAAGGAAAAAAATCACTGTATAAACATAAAACAGCTCATTTCTTACTTATATACCATATTGTTAAATAAACTGTGTGCAACAGGCTGAAACTCCTGGCTGAGTCTGTTCCTGGTGGGGATGTGAAGACGAATAGTATCTTTTGGTTAAAAGTAGGTGCTGGGGTACTAGGGATATTTCTCTGAATCATTTGGTAGAAATAAAAGTGCGATTTTACGCTCTGTGACTTTGAATGAAAGGTGGGAAGGGGTTGGTTATACTGAGTAGGCTAATGACTCACGTTAAAGGAGAACATTTTCCCTGGTGCAAGAGATAAAAGCTCAAGACTGCGGAAACACTTTTGCTCAGAAGTGCATCGGGTCTAGAACCAGCAACTACCATTTACCAATAGCAGGCCATGCCTGAATGAGCTTACAGTTCATAGTTAACTATGAGAACAGGAACGGCTTATCCAGATGTGCATTTGCGTACCTTGGTAAACATGTGACACAGTGAAACAGACATGTCGGATTTCTAACGTGACGTCCCCGGGTACCGTGCTGCTGCCGCGGCTGCGCTGAGAAGCGTCTCCTCTAAACTGTCCACCCGACGGGTCCGGACCATGCAGTTACCTAATGTCAGCGCCGGTCAGTGCGGCTATTCTGTGTAGAAAAGTGATCGATGGTATATAAACACATTATAAACTAATGGCATGTCGTAACCACAATTTAAACGCAATTAAAATAGGGAAAAGACCATAGTCATATAAGAAACGCGAATATATTTGAATGTGAGTAGTTTCTACATGTCAAAGTTGTATAAACGGCACTTTTTGAATAGTATGTCATACATGAACATAATTTAATGCAATCCTACATCTTAGACGTTTAAATGTGAAATAAGAAGATTCACTTCGTTTCCAAAGCGTATTTGGGAATAAAGTCTGTGTTTTCAGACGGCCCTGGGTCCTGAAGATACCCCCCGCTCTCCGCAGTCTTGCTATTTTAATAGTAACTCTGCCATCTGGTGGCAGGTAGCGGCAGTACGCCGAGATGTGAGCCGCCTAGCGACGACTAATTTAATTGCTGCCCTATTTGAAACAGGCGCCTAAACTATTGATTAGAGTTAACATCTATCCGTCAGCGTGGCTTTTAGGCGTACGCAGGGGCGGATTAAGGTGTACAGAGGCCCCTAGGCTACAGTAGTCTGTGGGCCCCCCAACCCCACCCCCCTCCGCACCAATGGGGGCCCCCTTGCAGGCTGGCACACGTGGGGCCCCTAGGCTTAAGCCATATCTAGCCTGTGCGTTAATCCGCCCCTGGGCGTACGGGTAAATAATCGGCTATGCCGGATACCCTACTCTGCTCTGTTATTAAAGTATCAAAGTTTTACTTGTCACATACACAATTATCCTCGGTACAACGTGCAGTGAAATGCATGGTTTGCCTTGCCCCAAACTGTGAACGGAGGACGTAAATTTAAGCGGTAAGATATATTACGTATTAACATTTAACATCAGTAATAATCAGAAATATCTATGGTGTGCAAAATTGGAGGTAGTGCAAAAACTCCAAGAATAACTAAATATTTACATATATACTGTATAAATTGTACACGTGTGGGCTGAGTCGGCTGTTCAGAACATTGGTGTGTGGGTCCTAAACACTGTCCTCACTGAGGATCTGAATTAACGTTCTTGTATCGTTTACAGAGATTCCTCCTGAGTTTGTTCCTATGGTTGTATACTCTATTAAAACATAATTTCCTTTGTTATATGCCATGAAACCTGCATTGGGTTGGCGTCCCATCCTGGGTTGTTCCCCCTTGTGCCCGTAGCCTCTGGGATATGCTTCAGACCCCCGCAACCCTGAATAGGACAAGCAGTTACAGAAAATGGATGGATGAATAGATGGATTGATGGGTATGCCATGTAAGTGTTGAGTGTGCATAGCAATTATCAGTTTGTCTAGGTTTTTGTTTTGTGTATGTTGAGCGGGTTATTAGCATTATTCAGTTTTAATAAATTAACAATGAACAGACAAGTGCAAAAAATGCATTCCAGGTAAGAGTTGTACAAGTATTTAATCAAAACCATTTTTTCCTCATGTTGTGTGACTTTGGGCGATTACCGGAAATGAAATCACACTTGTTTGAAAGCATTTTCCAAAGATTAGAAAAGTGAGTTATTTCATTACCTGGCCAACTTTTATTTACTTTTCTATTCTCCACCGTCAATATAACACAGGTGGAGGCCTAAAGCTGACGCACTTTCTTGTCGTATTAACCGGAGACCATCGTGCTGCAGCATTACTATGCTACACAAAGTTAAACAACCACTGAATGGAATATAGCTGTGGAGCAGCAGCAGGCCTTGCTGGAGCGGAAATGCCAGCAGCATGGTCTATATTACCACTCTGTGTACTTGGATCCACCAAATGTTTAAACAAGAGAGGGGGAGTTGTTGTAGTACTTTAACACTACACTACATGCCCTACACTTCACTTCATCCATGATATTATATCAAGCTAATCCCAAACCCCAGACCTAGGTCTCTTGATGTCTCTTCCCTCTGTTATTCCAGATTACTACCTAAATCTAGCGTACTTCTATCTAAATATATAGGCTACCAGTACTGCGAGTCAAATTATCTTTTAATAATATTAGGCTTAGTCATCATAACTTTATTTCCCGTAGTAAAATATCATTCTAACTAATAAAAATGTAATTTTTAATAGGTAAAATATGAATGACAGGTATCTATATTCATATAGTTCAATATATAGTTCAAGTTTGACTAGTACATTTCTTTTTAGTAGTAAGAAATGTATTGTTACTAGTAAAGATTCATATTAAAGATATATACACTACTAATTATATTTTTACTATTAAAAACCTAATTATGGATATGTGGATCTGGATTTTTGACTATACAAAATTAGTAGATGTGGATATCAACAATCGACACCTTATCGTGGTGGAGGGGTTTGCATATTCCACTGATCCCAGGAGCTAAGTTGCCTGGGGCTTTATGCCGCTGGTAGGGACACCCAAGGCAAACAGGTCCTGATTGAGGAACCAGACGAAGTGCGGCTCAAAAGACCCCTAATGATGTATAAAATGATGGAATGGTGGAATGGAATGATGGAATGGTGGTGAAGTTCCGGCTAGACATAGTTGGGTTCACCTCGACGCACAGCTTGGGCTCTGGAACCAGTCTCCTTGAGGGGGGTTGGACCCTCTTCCAATCTGGAGTTTCCTGCAGGGAGAGGCGGGGGTGGGCATACTTACTGCCCCCTGGCTGGGCGCCTGTACATTGGGGTTTACCGCAGTGGACGAGAGGGTAGCCTCCCTTCGCCTTCGGGTGGGGGGATGGGTCCTGACTGTTGTTTGCGGTTATGCGCCAAACGGCAGTTCAGAATACCCACCCTTTTTAGAGTCCCTGGAAGGGGTGTTGGAGAGCACTCCTTCTGGGGACTCTCTTGTTCTGCTGGGGGACTTCAATGCTCACGTGGGCAATGACACTGAGACCTGGAGTGGTGTGATTGGGAGGAACGGCCCCCCCGATCTGAACCCAAGTGGTGTTCTGTTGTTGGACTTCTGTGCTCGCCACGGATTGTCCATAATGAACACCATGTTCAGGCATAAGGGTGTTCATATGTGCACCTGGCACCAGGACACCCTAGGCCGCAGTTCGATGATCCACTTTGTAGTCGTGTCATCGGACTTGCGGCCGCATGTCTTGGACACTTGGGTGAAGAGAGGGGCGGAGCTGTCAACTGATCACTACCTGGTGGTGGGTTGGCTCCGCTGGTGGGGGCCTTTTTAGCCTGTGGGACTCCCGAGGCAGCTGACAGGTACCGGCAGGCCAAGCGGGATGCAGCTTTGGCGGTCGCTGAGGCAAAAACTCGGGTTTGGGAGGAGTTTGGTGAGGCCATGGAAAACGACTTCCGGACGGCTTCGAGGCAATTCTGGTCCACCATTTCTCTGGGTGGGAAAGCGGTGCAACATCAACACTGTTTATGGTGGGAATGGGGTGCTGCTGACCTCAACTCGGGACGTTTTGGGTCGGTGGGGGGAGTACTTCGAAGACCTCCTTAATCCCACCGACACGCCTTCCAGTGTGGAAGCAGAGTATGGGGACTTGGGTGTGGACTCCCCTATCTCTGGGGCGGAGGTCGCTGAGGTGTTTAAAAAGCTCCTCAGTGGCCAGGCCCCGGGGGTGGATGAGATCCGCCCGGAGTTCCTTAAGGCACTGGATGCTGTGGGGCTGTCCTGGTTGACACGCATCTGCAGCATTGCGTGGACATCGGGGGCAGTGCCTCTGGACTAGCAGACCGGGGTGGTGGTCCCCCTCTTTAAGAAGGGGGACTGGAGGGTGTGCTCCAACTATAGGGGGATCACACTCCTCAGCCTACCTGGTAAGGTCTATTCAGGGGTCCTGGAGAGGAGGGTCCGCCGGATTGTCGAACCTCGGATTCAGGAGGAGCAGTGTGGTTTTCGCCCCGGCCGTGGAACAGTGGACCAGCTCTATACTCTCTGCAGGGTTTTTTATGCAGCCGTTTTTTATGGACAGAATTTCTAGGCGCAGCCAGGGCGTTGAGGGTGTCCGGTTTGGTGACCTCAGGATTAGGTCTCTTCTTTTTGCAGATGATGTGGTTCTGTTGGCCTCATCGGACCGTGACCTTCAGCTCTCGCTGGGAAAGTTCGCAGCTGAGTGTGAAGCGGCTGGAATGAGAATCAGCGCCTCCAAATCCAAGACCATGGTTCTCACCCGGAAAAGGGTAGAATGCTCTCTCCGGGTCAGGGATGGGGTCCTCCCCCAAGTGGAGGAGTTTAAGTATCTTGGGGTCTTGTTCACGAGTGGGGGGACGTTGGAACGGGAGATCAACAGGCGGATCAGTGTGGCATCCACAGTGATGCGGGCGCTGCGTCGGTCTATCATGGTAAAGAAGGAGCTGAGCCAAAAGGCAAAGCTCTCGA